TGGCGCTAGGTCTCCATGGTAACTGATGCTGCGAAGCTAGGTCTCCATGGAAACTGATGCTGTGGAGCTAGGTCTCCATGGTAACTGATGCTGCGGAGCTAGGTCTCCATGGTAACTGATGCTGCGGAGCTAGGTCTCCATGGTAACTGATGCTGCGGAGCTAGGTCTCCATGGAAACTGATGCTGCGGAGCTAGGTCTCCCTTTAAGCAAACTGGTTCCTGGTGATGGTGTTTTCTCTGTAAAACTGCTGATCCGTACGTTACAAAAACACTGAATGAAGCAGCTAAAGCATCACAGACTGGAGGCTTTTTTTTTTTCATTTCATTTTCATTCATTTCACACTGGAGGCATCCTGTTGCCATGGAAACCTACATGTGTTCAGCTGCTGATGCAGAAATCACATCAACATGTTTCTGTGTTTGGTCCATTTACTCTGCTGGTCCTGCAGCTGATAGATCACTGATCAGAACATTGATCATCTATTGGTGTTCAACTAAACGGACTTCACGTCTCCTTCATTCTGGAACTGTGTCAGACCTGAACGTTGATGTTTGAATGCACAAAGTTCTGATGTGAAGCTGGAAGTTACAAACGAGTCACTGAGTGTAAATATGAGTTTTATATTCCTCCTGTCACATGACACATTAAATGCCTTCTTGTCTTGAGCGTGCTCAGAACCTGATGAAGAGAACCTGGCTACCAAAGGACACTGATCATCTTTCAGGTTTTGTTGAGCTGGCTAACACAAAGAAAGCCTGGATATGTTGAACTTCACAGCATCGTCAGCTCCATGGTTTGTTTGTTCAGTCTAACTGTGGTTTTCTTCTCCTGGAGCAGAGCTGCATTTGATGTTTTCCCTGATGGACAAAGTTCCCAGCGGCATCGAGCCGATGCTGAAGGACCTGGAGGAGCACATCATCAGTGCAGGCCTGGCAGACATGGTGGCTGCTGCCGAGACCATCACCACTGTACGTATGCTGCAAGTTCAGACATAAAGCCCCACCAGCCAGAGTGCAGGCCGGCCCTGCACGCTCACTGTTTTAATGTGTTTCTGTTTGTGCAGGATTCTGAGAAATATGTGGAGCAGCTGCTGACTTTGTTTAACCGCTTCAGTAAACTGGTGAAGGAGGCGTTTCAGGATGACCCTCGATTCCTCACAGCCAGAGACAAGGTCTGGTATCGCCTGATCAGCACAGCTCAGGGTTTAGCTGCCACATCAGCCTTTTTACCAAGGATCAGCTGATTAGCAGTAATGTTATGCTATTAGTAGGTTACTGATCAATGAAATGTTCGCCTCTCTGTGAAGCCCCGCCCACAGCTCTGTGTGATTGGCTGCACATCACAGTAACAGCCAATCACTGCATTCATAAGTTATCTAAAGGGACTTGTGCGTTTCATTTCCTCTCAGGCCTACAAGGCTGTTGTCAACGACGCTACGATCTTCAAGCTGGAGCTGCCGATGAAGCAGAAGGGGTGAGTGGACCGCTCTCTGAGAGCACAGCAGATAAACCCAGCCCCAACCCCAACCTTTTAACGTGTGTTCTGTTCACCCAGCGTGGGCATGAAGACTCAGCCCGAGTCCAAGTGTCCGGAGCTGCTGGCAAACTACTGCGACATGCTGCTGAGGAAAACGCCGCTCAGCAAGAAGCTCACGTCTGAGGAGATCGAGCTCAAGCTCAAAGAAGTGGTGAGATTTGTTATGTTGGCGCAGCTTCATCACACTCTGACTGTTTCAGTCCTCACTGTGTTTCTCCTCCTGCAGCTGCTGGTGCTGAAGTACGTCCAGAACAAAGACGTGTTCATGCGTTACCACAAAGCTCACCTGACCAGGCGCCTCATCCTGGACATCTCAGCCGACAGCGAGATCGAAGAGAACATGGTGGAGTGGCTCAGGGTGAGTCGGGCCTCATCACAGTCCCACAGCCCGAGGGTGGCACTGCGTGATCCAGGAGGACACATGGACCTGGTGTCTGGTGATCATGCTTTGGTGTTTCTGTGCTCAACCTGTGGCATTTAGTCTCCGTTTGATCCGGTCTCTGATCTCCTTCTGATAGCTAATTAACATTATTCATTATTGTTCACTGAATGTGAGTGTGCTTGGTTGTCTGTCTCTAAGTGTAGCCCTGTGATAGACTGGTTACCTGTCCAGGTGAACCTGCCTTCACCCTGAGTCAGCTGGG